ATGTCCTCCTCCAGCGATTGACCCCTCCTGCTGACGTGTCCAAAGCGGAAGAGTCAGACAGTGTTCTGTTATGATCCATGGGGTGTTCACTGGCTATTTTCAGTAGATCCCAGGGCTTTCTTCCAGGTCTGTCTTAGTCTGGAAGCTCTGCTGAAACCTGCCCACCATGAATGACCCTGATGGCATTTGAAATACCGGTGACATAGCTTCCAGCATCACAACAACACACAAGTCCTGACAGTATGACGAACTGACAGATGGTGGCTAATATGGATGGCCTCTGGTTTATTTAGCCTTCTCCCTATTGATAGAAAGGAGCTGTGGTAGCACAGTGGTTAAGGGATTTGGCTGCTAACCAAAAGATCAGCAGTTTGAACCTACCAGTGGCTCTGTGGGAAGAAGATGAAACAGTCTGCTTCCATAAAGTTTTATGGCCTTGGAAGCAGTGCCGTTCTGTCCTGTAGGTGCTATGAGGCAGAATTGACTCAATGGCAGTGGATTTGGTTTTTTCCTATTGATAGACACTTCAGTGGTTTCCACTTGTTCACAGTTAAAGTCCTCATACATGCCTCTGTGTACACACTCACTGCATTCAAGCAGTACATCTTAAGATACTTCCTGTGTCCAGGATGCCCCTGTGAGACTCCTCCCCTGGCCCAGGTTATCAAGTCCCATAGCTTGTAACTGAGAGTCACACTGTGCTAAACCAGCCATTAGGGGCCAGTCCCAGAGCATCTCCTCATTGAAAATGTCTTCACGTTTTCCTCAGAGCTGGGGCTGGTCTGTGTTCATGGTGTTGGCCTCCATAGGCTTGGCCATCCCCAGACGGTTCCATCAAAGTGTTCTCACCAGAGAAGTCCTGGTGGCAAAATTAAAAGTAGAATTAAATTCTCCATAAGTCAGATACAACTGGATGGCAACTGGTTTTTATTTGTTTTAGTTTTCAGACAGAAGACAGGACCCAACCTATAGCTGAGATCAGACACAGGACTGCCTGTGGGTGTTTGTGAGCCAGGGTCCGGGCACAAGGGAGCGATGAAGTTGGTTGTTCTGAGTGCAGGGCAGCCTGAGTGGGACGGCTCCGTGAGCTCTGGGCCTCGGACCCTCTTGAAACATGCTCTTTTCATGATTCAGAGAACCCCTCTCAATCCAGGGAACGCGGGTGACTCCGAGGCAGCCATGGGGCTGGCCCCAACTTCAGGCAGGAAGGGTTGATGGTGCCAACTGGTCGATAAGATGCCTGGAAATATGGTAAAATGTACAATGGGATATTATCCAGCCATGAAATAGAATGAAGGGCTGATAATATGCTACAACATAAATGAATCTTGAAAACATTATGCTGAGTGAAAGAAGCCACACACAAAGGCTATATATTGTATGATTCTGTTGATACGAAATATCCAGAATAGGTAAATCCACAGACAGAAAGCAGATGAGTAGCTCCAGGGCATGGTGGAGGAGGTCTGAGGGATTACTACTAAGTATGGGGTTTCTTTTGGGGGGTGAGAAATATGTTCTGGAATTAGATAGTGGTGGTGATTGTAACAAACAGATCTGTCCTGGAGAAAGTGCAGCTGGAATGCTCCTTGGAAGCAAGAATGACCAGACTTCGCCTCACCTGCTTTGGTCATGTTGTCAGAAGGGACCACTCCCTGGAGAAGGTATCATGCTTGGTGAAGTGGAGGGTCAGCAAAGAAGGGGAAGACCCTCAATGAGATGGATTGTCATGGTGCCTACCATGATGGGCTCATGTATGGCAAGGATTGTGAGGATGGTGTGCAGGACGGGGCAGTGTTTCATTCTGTTGTACATTGGGTCACTATGAGTCAGAGTTGACTCGATGCCACCTAACAACAACAATTGCTCAATCTTTTGAAATACTAAAAGATACTGAGTTATACATATGAAAATATGAATTAAAAAAGAAAAACAGGCCTGGAGCTCTTGACTTTGAGGAGACTGGTGCTAGACAGTGGGTGAGGGAGAAGAGAGGGGCGTGGCCAGGCAGGAGGCCTGGGTCACCTCAGGAACTTGGAACAAATATCTTGGCCCCGCAGAACTCTTGAGGTAGAGACCTAATCTGGGGTGAGAATGTGCCTGAAGCCACCTCATGTCAGTCAGGAAATCCAAGTCCTCTCTCCGATTCAAAGAAATTGCTCTTCAGCCCATTGGCAGATACAGCTTTGTGCTCGGAAAAGTAACTTTGGAAGGAGGCAAACCAGCCCTGCTCCCTGCTACTCCAAGTTACTTAACCTCTGAGCCTGAGTTTTTTCCTCTGTAAAAGGGGAACAATGGCATCCCTACCCCTTTGGGGTGGTTCCATTAATCATTTCATGGAAAGTGCAGGGCCTAGCACAGAGTAAACACTCAGTGAATTGTCCAGCCGTCATCACTGTTGTCGTATTTAACCTGTCACACTCTGTTGTCTCACCTGTAACATGAGGCAACACGACCTTGCAAGGTTGTTGCCAAGATGGAAGGTCGATCTTGTGCCTGGCCATGGTGAATGGCCAGGAAATGGCAGCAGCTACTGTTGTTGTTGTTGTGTTGTCAATAGGAAAGGGGGAGCGAGTTCAGCCACTTTGACAGTTGGCCGCACCCAGGAGTGTGATGGCTCCAGTGTGTGGTATACATGGTGTCTGTCAGTCCCTGCCCACTGCTCCCACCCTCTGCCAAGGTGCCATGGCAGCACACGTGGATTAGGTTACAGCACTCCCTAGAAGGCCCCCTAGGGCTGGCTCTTAGGGCTGAGTGTAAGTGTGTTTGAGTTTCAGCATCCTCAGAACAGTCCCAAATGCCAAGTGATCCATCCCTACCACCAGGCTTAATTAGCATCTCAAAGGTGAGTCTTGTGGGGCTGTAGCCACAGGCCTCTAATGCTTCCCAAATCCTCTTGACTATGCATTTTCCTAGCTGTGGGTTCTTGGCAGCAGACACCCCTCGTTCTAGAGGCCCTGGGACAGGCAGGAGCCTGAAGCCCCCATATCTGAGTACAGAGCTCCTGGTCCCAGCACAGCCCTGGCCTCCCTGCCCCTCTAGAAATGTTGGCCCCAATTGGCTAACACAGTACAAGATCAGAGTCTGAGAGTCCTTACTGTGGCTCCTGCCAGCTATCTGGGGAGTTGAATGTCATCCATCCTCCCCCACGAAGGCCAGGAGTGAGGAAGATACTGAGCTGCCCAGCCTCCTATGGGCCCCACTGGGGCAGAGGTCAGTGGCTGGTCTTTTCTGGTTGTGGCCACCAGTCGGCCAGGCTCAGTGGAGGGCTGGGTACTGTGTGCCTGTCATCTGTGCAGGTGGAAGGACCAGGCTGCCTGCCTCAGTGCTGAGTGACCAAATACAAACAACAACAACAGTAGCAACCACAGGTTACATGGTTGCTGGTTTCCAGTGCCGTGCTGGGTGCTGGGCATCCACTGTTATATGTAATCCCCCAATAACCATGTGATGGGGACACTCCTCTTGTCCCCATTTCACAGAAGAGCAAACTCTGGCATGGAGAAGTCAGATGGCTTATACCGTAACCTCCACGAGGAAAGAAAGAAATCCCTGCAGCGTTCGGCAGACTCTGCCTTCCCCCTACATCTCACGAAAAGAGAGGCCTGGCCTTGTCTCGTGTGGCTGTGTTTTGGAAGAGAAGCCCATGAGCACTAATTTTGACTTGATCCTTGCAGTCCTGGGTTATGCCAAGCACTAGACAAATGTCAGTGGGTATAAATGGAAGGGTCCCACCCCAGAAGTTCTGATCTTGAATGAGCTGCTCTTACCACCCCCTGCTGCCCTCACCCCCAGCAGCCCTGCTTCTGTCCTGGGCATCCTCACTGGCTCAGAGATTTATTTCCCCTGAGCAGAAGGCTCTCATTAGCTGCACCACGGAGGTCAGGGGCATGCCTGTCACCTCTAATTTGCCCAAACCCCATGACAGCCTCAGCGGATTGGTCAGCTCCAGCTGCAAGGTGAGGTCTTGGGGCTCCTTGCCCCCATATGAACTGAAATGGGGAAGCGGAGCCCAGGCCCCCAGAGTTAGCATCTGGCTTCAGCTCAGCAAGCGTGCCCCGGGCACCTACCATGTGCCAGGCCTGTGTGTTGCAGGAACGACAGGGTCCTTAACCCCAGTTGCAAGGAGCCAATGATCGCAACAGGTCGAAGTGGTAAAGCAAATGGATTTATTGTGTATCAATACCTCAGGAGACAGAGAATCCCTTCGCTAAAATATCTGTCTCCCAGAGCAAAGAGGTCAACGCGATCATATAGGGAGATGGGAAGGGGGATGACGATCCCTTAGACGGCCAGGAATGTCTTTGTTCTTCTCTTCCCTGGTTACTCCAGACTCAGTGTCCCTCTTCCCAGGGTCGTCTTGCTTCATAGGCTACGGTTCTCCACCAAAACCAGTCATGGGAGAGGGTTATGCTTAGAAGAATGTATAATTGAGAATGCCAAATCTAAAGAACTCAGCGTCCGTGAACAGCGTGGCTATTCTATTTACTAAAAGAGAGCAAAAGGGAGGGGGAAACAGTCAGCCACCCACCATGATCGATGTCTACTTTGATCATGCCTGCTATCTGTTAGAGTTCTGCAGTTTTCAGTGAGGGGCCCTTCGGCCTTCCACTCCAGCCTTGCACATGTGCAGGAGTGGGCATCCCTCTCTAGCTGCTCACCTGTCTCACACTGTGACCCCACAGCTTCATTCCGCCCGCTCTAGATTTAGTGGCCTTTGCGGACCCAGTAAAGTGAGTAAATCTGGGCCCGCCTGCCCTGTCTGACTTCAGTAAAGCCCTGGGAGATAACAGTGCCGGCTCTGCTGGCCTCAGCAGCTCTCTCCAGGGCCTCCTGTCCATCACGGTGGACGCCGGCCTTGCAGGCGGAACTGAGCTGATTTTTCACTGCCGGGCCTGCCAGAGGCTGAGAGATTCTGCTTGTGGTCTCTGTTCAGGGAGGGGGTGGTACCCCAGTCTGGGTTGCCCCTGGGGCAGGTATAGAAACCAGGAGCCCAGACTGACACCTCCCTGAAAAACAGAGCACAGCAAACAGCCTATCCACACACCCAAGCTCTGAACAGAGACCTCAGGGGCTGCAGGGAGCACAGCACGGAGGTTCCAGCCCAGATGAGGGAATCTGGGGAACACACCAGAGACCAAGAAAGGCCGATGGGAATGTGAAAGGCCTGGAGAGAGACAGACAAGCTGAGACCCAGAGACCGATGCAGACAGACAGACTGTACAAAAAAAAAAAAAAAAGAGGAACTAAGAGAGAGACCCAAGAAGACTCAGAACATACAGAGACACAAAGACACAGAAGAGGAGGAAATGAAGACAAGCAAGATGCACAGAGGAGTGAAGGCAGAGAGAGAGACAAAAAAACTCAGTAAGAGAGGCACAGAGAGAAGTCAGACCGAGAGAGAGAGAGAGAGAGAGAGAGAGAAAGAACCAGAGAGGGCTGGAGTCAGGGAGCAAAAACGAACATGCCTCTGGCATCCCAGCAAAGGAGTGGGCAGGAGGCATACCCTCACTTTGTTTTATTTCTGCCATGACCCGGAACCGTCATGTGTCAGAGAGACACAGCGCAGAGCTCTCTCCTGAGCTGAAGCCTCTCTCCTGAGCCAGCGGGAGAGACTACCCAGCATTTCTGCCTAAATCAGGCCCATCCTTAAATTCCACCTCTTCCAGGAAGTCCTCTCGGACTTGCCCTTCTGCCCTGAACACCCACCTGCCCCACCCTCCCTAATCAGTCTTTCGTGTCTCTCTTGTTCTATTTGGAGCTCCTCAAGTAAGGCCAGGGACTACAGGATTTCTCTGCTGGCAACCACATTTTCATTGATTTGAGGATTTGTCTTCATTATCTGGTGCCTCTTATCTGGAAGCCTAAAAGAGAGAGGTAATTAAAATTGATGGTGAATGAACAAGTAAGCTCAGAAAACCCTCCACGCCCCAAATCTGAATTCCTCGCCTGGTCTGTGTTGTCCCTGCTGAGGTCTACCCTGCCTCAAACCCTGCCAATCCCCAGGGCTTAGAAGCAGGGCCAGGGAATGAGCCCTTTTCTTCTGGAGCTCCCCAGGTGCCACACCATCACAAAGCCCTGAGAGGTGGTCCTGTGAGTACCAAGTTAACCAACCAGTTGCCATGGAGTCTAACTCATGGCGACCTCAGTTCAATACATGATTTTTTTTTTAGGTAAATTGCCAGGTCTTTCTTCCACGACGCCTCTGGATAGACTTGAACCCCCAGCCTTTCTGTTCACAGCTGAGTGCGTTAACTGCTTGCACCACGCAGGGCTCCCTCCCATCCTTCAGATGAGAAGATGAAGCTCAGAGTGCTCAGGCAGCTGGCTGGAGGGAGGCAGAGTTTGAGCAGGGAGCCAGGAGGCCAACAGCCTCTTCTGGGCCTGTCCTGTAAGAACACAGTCCCCAGCCTCAGGCGCTGCCTCTTCCCCGTCCAGACCCCTACTCTGCAGGGCTTAGAGGGAGTTTCCAAAACAAAGGAAGAGCCTTGTTCGCCTGACCTAGGTTTGGTGGAAGAGCCGCTGTGTGTGAACACTGCACTCTTCCCCCAGTGCCCACTCATCCCGTGTCCATGGCAACGGGCCTTGGCAACCCCTCCCCCCATCGGTCCATCCCTCCCACAGCTGAGGCCACAGGCTGCCTGGATCGTCCCACTTGAATGTCCTTCAAGGGGGAGGCTTCTGAGAAGGTGCCTGCTTGGTGGGAAGCCCAGCTCTTCCGGGAGGCGGGAGACAGCGCTCTGGGTCTCTCTGTCCTCCTGGGCCTCCACCACCTCGCTGACTCCCATCCCAGACCTGCTCTTTTTGTACAGTGCTGTTTCCTCTCCGGGGGAGGTTTTTCAGGAAAGCCGTAAACAAGTGTCTCCTGAGCATCCACTTTGCACAAAGCTCAGTGTTGCGCGGTGAGGGAAGGAGGCAGATGGGAATTAAGACATGGCCCCTGCCCTCAGGTGGCTCCAGGTCCAGTTGAGGAAGTCAAGGCAGGAGTTTGTCAGAAAACAAATATAATTCCAGATGGTGTCTGACAGAGCTGGGAGCAGCCATTTATCCTTCCCTAGGACTGGGAAACTTCTCCACTGAGGCACATCTTGAATGGGTCCTTGGAGGATGAACTGGATTCCAATTGCCAGAAACATTCTCGGCTTGTATCACTTTTTAAACTTGCAAAGCCTTTTTTCCTACTTGATCTTCTTTTATTGGTAGGAATTATTGTCGCCATTTTGCAGATGTAAAGACTGAGGTTCAGAGAGTTTGAGGTATTTGCCTGGGAGCATCCAGGGCAGAGCTAGAACTCAACCTAGGTGTTGGGAGTGGACTAGAAGTCCTTCTCACCCATGCCAGAGCCCCGAAGGAAGCATGCAAAGGGCAAGGTGGGGACACAGAGATCAAGCTGGCCTGCCAGAGGGGACAATTCCTGAGAGAGCAGAGCCGAGAGGTTGAGACCAGACCATGCTGGGTGAGATGGGAAGGGCAAGGATTCTGCCCATTGATAGGCCTAGGTTCAAATCCCAGCTTGGCCTCCAGGCTTCAACATCATGTGAAGCAAAGCTTGGGATCTAAGCTGCATCAGGAAGGACGAGTCTACCCGTGTGAGGTTGACCTGAACATTGAACATGGTGATCCCAGAGGCCACCCCTGTGATGGTGACTTGGGTCTGTGAGTTCAGGCTGCCCCCATCAAATAAGATTGTTGTGAGTTGCCGTTGGGTTGATTCTGACTCAAGGTCACCCCACCTGTGCAGAGGAGAGCTACTCCATAGGGTTTTCAAGGCCGTGACCTTTTGGAAGCAGATTGCTAGGCCTGTCTTCTGAGGCACCTCTCAGTAGCTTCAAAGTATCAACCTATCAGCTACTTGTCAAGTGCATAACCATTTGTGCTACCCAGGGACTCCTCCAAATAAAATAGCTGCCATTTATCAAACATCTACCATGTGCCACACCCCTCATCTCATAGGTGGGCCCATGGAGCACTCAGGGAGGTAGAGACTGACCTAGAGCCACACAGCTGGGACGTGGCACAGCCAGGACACAAACCCAAGTCTGTCTGACTCTTCACCACCCCACACTTCCTCCTGCTGCCACCGAAACAGACGTGGGGTGGTGTCTCAGAGGGCTCCTGGGCCCCACCTGTTCCAGCATCTCTGCAGCCTGGTGAGCTGCGTAGGGCTAATTGGGACTGTCTCTGCATCCCTGGGGCCTTACTGTCTTTCCTTTACATTGAAAGCAATTTTTTTTGTTTTGTTTTTAGTATGCAAAATTTTCCACCATCTGCTTTGCCTTGGCGGAATGTTTGCTGAAAATATCTCTCTTCCTCTCTAATTCTCATAATTTCTGGGGGCTTTGGGAGCTTCCGAGTGGAGCAGTGGCAGTTCACAAGTGCCTTCCAAGCTCTCAGGCTGGCAGCTGTCTTTGTGCCAGGTGGCAATGAGTATTGTATGGCCCACAGGGGCATTTCTCTGTCTCTCACCCAAGGAATGGCACCAGAGGTCTGTCCGTTGATGGGACAGAGGTGACTCAAAGTTGAGTTTTAGAGTCAGATTCGGAGAGGTATCCACGTCAGCCTCTTTGTTTTTGCATGACACCCAGAGAAGTGTGCAGACGTGCCCAAGGTCACAGAGAAAGGGTGGTGGTGGAACAGAGCCTGCAAGAGTTCTTCCAAGTCCCAACAGAGTTCTGTGAGTGCAGGTGGCCAGTATCTAGGGTCCTTTTGAGGCAGTCAGGCAAGGCTTCCAAAAGAGACTTTCCTCCCCTCCATGTACCAAAACTGAGTTTCCATGGTGACAGGCAAATTGCAAATCCATCCAAGAGTGAGCCAAGAAAAAAAGAAAGCTGGCCTAATCCCAGAGAAGTGGGAGTGGCTGGCGCCAGGGTTGTCCGCAGTGAGGGTGAGTGCTGAGCAGAGCAGGCAGCCCTTCTGGGGCAGGATGGGAAAATCTCAGGGATGCCGGGTCCCCAAGCAA